CCCTTACCTTCTTTAAAGGGTTCTGATGCATGGGACCTTGGTTTGTATAGGGTATGTACGAGGTATATAAGGGGTACCCGTTTAAGGGCCCATACGAAGGGACCATGAAACCCTAAACCCTCAACCCTAAACCCTAAACCCCGAACCCCAAACCTTTTAAGGGCTAGCTACCCTTCGAGTCAAACTCTCGTCGAGTCGGCGAATGAGGCTGCTGACATCCCAGCGAGACATCTGGCTGCTCCTAGTCGCGGCCGGCTGAGCTTGCTGCTAGGGTTTAGGGTAGGGTTTCGGGGGTTAGGGTTTAGGGTTTGGGGTTTGGGGTTTGGGGTTTGGGGTCTAGGGTTTGGGGTTTAGGGTTTAGAGTTTAGCTTAGGGCTTACGGTGTAAACCCCTGATCCCTGACACACACTGATGAGTAGACAACCGATTATCTGCCGAGTGCAAGAATTAAAAAACAACATGTCGCTACTCAAATCAGCTGTTCTACTACACGGCCATCGGATTCTGGTGCGAAAAGTCGTTTTTGGTTCAGTTTCTGAGTGACTGCAACAGTGATGGCAAAACAGTGCGCAGCGATGACAAAACACATATCACATGTTCCGGCGGCAGGCACGCTGGAGTGGCCAAACTCCAGTATCCCGCGGCCTAACTTAGCTTCAAGAGGTCAGCAGCAATCCCTGCGGAAAATTCATAGCTCTGTCTCTGTTGCAAACTTTAGTGTGCGGCTGTGCCGTTACTGTGCGCGTGACCCCCTGCGCCTATGGACTAAGGCGGCTCACACCCACACTACTTAGCCGTTCTAGGACACCGTCAACCCGACACCTAAACCCGGCTTAGGCCGCCCCCCCCCGGGGGCGGCGCCACGCCCCTCGGCCTTCATGGCGTTTTGAGACCTCCCTGACCCGCCTAGAAACTTTTTGGGTCAGCTCTGTAGTGTGGGACCCTCCCATGACTGTGGGATTTGGAGTTTCCCACTGACAATCCCCCTCTAGTTCAGGGGCCTTGTGAAGGCAGCCCTTCAATCGCTGGACGGACAAGTGTTTCGTAGGCAATAGAATTTGAGCTTAGGCTTAAACCTTAAACGGAACAGGTTAGGTTTTGCCGCCTGAGACGGCGTGAAATGGGATGAAAGTGTTAGATGGCCCTCCGCAATCGGGCCATGGCGGCTCTTGACATGTCTCCAAGCTTTCGAGGCTAGTCTGCGCGCCAGCCTTCATAGCCTAAACCCTAAACCCTAAATCCTACACCCCTAAACCATCCTAAACCCTTAAACCCTCAATAAACCCTAAACCCGGCCTAAACCCTAAACCCTGCACCCTGAACCCCCAAATTAAACCAGCGCCCAGGTGGTCGTCCTCCCCGGCCTAGTGGATGCAGTCCTCGCCACCTCCATGGCTGTGCCGGCCGGACCTGGGTCCCAGAACCCGAAAAGCCGTAAAGCCTTGGTGACGGGCCCTTGGGACATGTTACCTTTTTGGGTTGAAGAGGATCACATTCATTTTTTTTCAGAGGGGTTTAAGGGCCATGCTAGGGTCAGGGCTTTCTTTGGATTTTCAGCTTTCTTCCACGAAAGCCCCAAAAAGCCCCCAAAAGCCCCGCGAGCTCCGTGTGGCAGATGCTTCTGCTGGGCCCACTCGGCTGGCTACTGACCATCCTGAACATGCTCGGCGGTCTGGTGATTGTGCCGCAAGCTTGGAACATCTGCCCAGAAACTCCCAAACCCCTTAATTAGGGAATACAATAGGAACCAAAATTTCATCTAAGGTATATTCCTTAAGTATGGAACCCTACTATGATTTAAGGTATATTCCTTAAATTAAGGGGTTTTGGAGTCTGTCTGTGGGTGGGACATGGGGTCTCGACGACAAGTGTGGGGGCAGTTCTCTGAGTGAGTTGTGGTTCCCTTGTGTGGCACCCCAACGATAAGGCTTCGTGTTTTTCATGAGATTCCCAAAGGGGACCATAATTCAATCTCTCCCCCCCCGTATACTGGGAATATCGAGTGCAGAACAAATTGTGAGCTGCAGATATTCTCTTGCGGCAACTACTCATTTCGACCCGTGCAGCCTTCACAAGTACGAGCACGAGAAGACTCAGCAGATGGGATGTCTCCCGTTGCTACTTTGGTCAAGAAGACTCAGTAGAACCTGCCCTATGTCGGCGACTGACCCAGCTAGAGCCCGAAGCCCAAGCCTTTTGTCCCTAGAGCAAGCGCAGCTGTGCACGTGACGCCTGCACCGCATGAGGCCCTTCTTGCACTTTGCCTTCCGCCTGGCTCAGTACCTGCCCGGGCCACAGCTTAAGTTCTGTAGTCTGCGTGGTGAGGGTTCTCCGCAAGCCACAACCTCGCTTTGAGAGAGCAGGTGGTTGTAATGGAGCCCTCCTTCTCTCAGATTCTTACGTAAACTGGCAAGTTTTCCAGACCTCTAGGACTCTAGGCCCTAGGCCAAAAGTGTTTTGGGTAAAGTCCTGAGCCTGAAGCCCTTGAGGAGTTTAGACA